AATTGGAGTGTCAGAGCCATGCTCCCAAAGGACGTGTTTGGGAATAGCATTAATGGTCAGTCTTTGAAGACGTTACTGTCAGATACATGGTGAAAGAAACATAGAGTATTCACTTCGTGTGGCACTGCAGAGGCCACCGAGTGTAAGCCCAGCCTGGAGTGTTTGTGTCTTCAAACCAAAGTGCAGAATCAAAATGCAGTAGAGGCATAACTGCCCTCTTAACATTTCTCATATCAGTTAAATATCTGTCACTTTTCCATTGAAGGAGTGTTATTCTCAGAGTGGGAAAGATTCAGCTGAGGCTAGTTTCTGGGGTGTTACATTTCAAGAGACAATAAAGATTGTTAATAAAAATGATTAATAATAAGTATGTCAGGTCTCTTAGAAAGGTCTAGATGAAAATGTGGTCATTAGAAGCTGGGATGTCTTTTACTCAAGAATTTTGTTTGTTTCCAATCTGTTAATATACTTTGAGAAGTTTGTCGAAATAGAGGTATCGTCTGTTGTCCTTCTCTGGAGATATTCAAGACCCGCCTGGACAAGGTCCTCTGCAGCCTACTGTAGGTGACCCTGCTTCGGCAGGAGGGTTGGACTAGATGACCCACAGAGGTCCCTTCCGACCCCTACCATTCTGTGATTCTGTGATTCTGTAATTCTGTCTGGAACAGTAATAAAGGATTTTTTGATATAATTACTTTGCAGTTCCCTAAAGCCTCCAGTGAATCTTTTCACAAGCCTGTTGGGGATATTAAAAAGTTGTATTTGGTGCATTCTCATTCCACACCCATTTTGCTGCTATCGGAGCAGGGTAAAGAAATTCTGCAGAGTCAAGGGAGACTGAAGGGTTTTCAGTACTAAAGCAGACCTATGCTCGGTGTTTAAATGGCTACCCGGTTACCTTTTTGTGTGTTTTCTGTCCACTTTGCATTTGTGTCCTCTCCATGTGTTCTGGTGCTTGGCTTCTTTCTGCCTCGGTAACTAATGTTCCTCCCTCTGTTCTGATCAGGAAAGAGCACGGAAGTAGCATGCAGTGTCCTGGATAATATGAGTCACATTGCCAAGCCTGTTGGTATCAGGTTTTTGTGTTTACCTCTTTCCAGAAGGGTGGGTCCTTTGAAGTGTATTTGTAGCTTTCTTCAGATATGTTGCTCTAGCCATTATATGAGCACATTTCTAATTATTTCTTTTGGGCCAGAATTGAAAGGTGCGGTCATTATCTCCACTTACCTGTAATGCACACATTGAGCGAAGAGTTGAGGCCAAAGTCGTGGTTCAAAGAGGGACTGAGGCAAACATGATGGTACACTCCTGTGTAGGATTCTACATGACATCCATTTTTTGTCGTATGTTAATTATCTGAAGGCTAGATAGAAAAAATAGTGTGTATAGGACATACAAAATTGCTAGTGAAGATTAATCCATAAACAATAGGACAGAGAACACTGAGAAGACAATGATACTTCTAGAAACTAATACTGTGCTTTTTCGTGAATCACTGCAGTGGATACTTAGTCATTAAAAAAGTATTCCTTTTTTGCTAGTCAAGTGTATGCCTGGTATGATGTTGCGTGTCCTGAGTGTGACATAAGGGCTGCCCACATCATTTCTGTTGTGTAGGTATTGGGTGGAGAGGTTTCATGTTGGTTTTTTGTGGAATATTTTACTGTTACTCTTTCCACACATCATCTTGCAGCTCTGCAAGACCCGTGGAGTAGGTCCAGTTGAAGGCTGCAAGGATGTTGCAGAGCAGCTCATATTGTGGAAGACACGTTCAGCTAACTTGCTTCAGTTTTGATGTCCAAGCTAAGGGAAGAACAGAGCAGGAGAAGACAGGGCTCAGAGAAGAGGCAGGAAGGATATAGGCATGAAGAGCTCTTCACTTGAGAAGGACTGAATAGCTTGGCACTGTTTAGACACAGTGAGAGAATGGAGCAATAGAATACTCAGAAAAACAAATCTGGCGGGGAAAAAAGCAACATAGATGCCTCTGCTTACTTTTCTGTGGTCACACAAGGTTGATCAATGAAACTGAATGTCCAAAAACATAACTGTAAGGTGTGCTCTATACTACATCATAGCCTGGACATTTGTTCTCACATGCTGTCATTATCTTAGCCAATGTTCCAGAAGAATCCAAAATAGAGGGAAATAATTGAATAATGAGAAGGAAGCAACTGTATCTAAATCCTTTAGTTGTTTTACTTATTAAGCTGTGTAATGATTCATGACCAAAGCTAACTTCCTGGCAGTAGGAAATATTTTTTTCTAGCAGCTTAAGCAGCCTACATGAAGGGGAAAAAAGTGCGTCTCCAAAGCTGTTTGGGAAGCTGTTCCCATTTGGGTGGGAGCCTGAAAACTCTCGTTAACTCTCACTTTTAATGTCTGGCTTCTCAGTGTATGGAACATTGGTTAAATGGAAAAACTTAACATGTCTTCCAAAACAAATCTGAGACACATTTGGCAGTTGGGCGTCCCTCTCCATACATCAGCATGCACGGGAGAAGCCGTGCAGAGAGAGGCAGTTAGCACATGAGCTTGAGTCATGGTAGATAAGTGTTTCTATAGCAGCCACCTTTGAGGGAAGCGGAGGATGGAAGTTCTCTAGGGAGAGCATAGTGGTGCCTGCCGTGGCTAGAATAAACTCAGTTTTGTCCATGTCTTGTTGGTCTTTGTAAGTCAAAGTGTTAGTACAGAACTGGACAGTGCAATACTGTTAATGGATGGACTGACAACTGACAAAGCCTGTATTTCAGTCAACTTCATTTTTTTTTTTTTTAGAATTTGTATTTGTTGTTGTCATAGAGAGCAAATAACTTGAATAGAAACTTTCACACTTGCAGGTTGGATTGTTCACCTACCATTTAATGCTGAGCAGATGAGATATTAAGTCTAGGTGACAACAGCCACAAGCTTTAAGATGGTCTTGTGCGGAAAAATGCAGCCTGGAGTACGTGGTGCAACTTCCACAGCCATGTATTTCAACTTATTTGATCTTCAGGCTGTCTTAAAATTTCCCTGCTGAAAGCATAGACCCCTGCATCAGTGAAACTAAGTGAACTGGCTGCAGGCTTGCTTTCCTCAGTAACCTATGACAGACGCCTCAGAAATCGGCCATGAGCCTGCGTGGCGCAGCGGATGAGAGGTTTAGGACTCTGGCATGACAGAATCAGTGAGCTGGGAGCAATGGTAATAAGAGTGATGGGACAAGTTTATTAGTAAAAGGGCGTGTGGGTGCTTCGACACCAGAGTGGAGGTGCCTGTTTTTTTGATGATACGCATCTTGTGACACACAGAACTGAAGGAAAACCTAAGAGGAAGAAGGCAGTGGGCAGACCTTATCTTACTCAGCTGGGT